TCCGACCCTTATTCGCATATAATACGCACTCATGTGTTATATGCACCCTTTATTATTGGCAATTAAATTCTGGAAATAAATCTGTCGAATATAAACCTTTAAGGCTGTCTATGCTAGCATAAACCACGAAATTTATCTTTCAACTCTGTTTTTTTCACCAAAATAATATTCTAATAAGAGCCCCTATTTCTAGTTTTGAGAGGGCCCTGGGCACTTATTACGTCGAATATGGTAATTTTAGCCAGGACTACTCATGCTGCAAGATGTTCCCAGTTGTATCTGAACGAAGTCTAGCGAGCCAAGTACTGATGCTACTTCTGCTTTGAAAGTCAAATGTAATTTGATTGAATGGCTATTTTTAGCATCGTGCACGTGTCATTCAACCCTGACTCAAAACAAAATTATGGTGGTTCAGGGTGTTTATTTCAATAGAATAAAATACAAAAACCTGGATAACCAGTGATGTGAGGAAACTTGTAGACTCATTATGAAATACTTTATAATATCTTAGAATCATTACTGTCAATGAAATATGTATACTGACTTGATCTGTTTTCAAAGAGGGTCTTAATATTCGCTCAGCAGAAATCCTTTAAATTAAAACCTGCCATGAAAAGATGATTCATAATATTTACAGCAATAATTGCAGCACATGCAGATGTGCCAAGTTTCTTAAAAGGATTCTTAAAGATAAATAAACAAATAAATTCTGTTCCAGTTGTTAAACCATAATTGTTTTGCAAAATGCTGATAAATTTTCCTCGTATCGGCAGCGGGAATGAACCGACTCACCTGTGTGTTACCTGGCAGACAGTCCAGGTGTTAACGAGACAGGTGGGATGTGGTAGATACATGATGGGCCTGCCACAGCATCAGGGATGATACACTAGATATGTCAGAGTGAAGGCTATGTTTAGATTGGGAGAGATTGGTGGGAAAAGATGTATTTACGTGATGTGTTTGCGTCACTGCTTTATTTCGACTCCCCGCTGTTTGTGATGGGTTTCTATCAAGAAATAAAATGGGATTAAGTGTGGTGCTGTAGAATGTGCATGTAAGGGGAGAAAAAACATTCTTGGCTGTTGAAAGAATAGTATAAAGAAATAACAAGCTTTAAAGAAATGTTATCGTTTCTGAATAAGGAAATTTGATATATGCAAATTTGATATCTGAAGAAATATTTTTTGTTCAATTTGAAGATACAGCATAGTCCAAGTATTGTGTTTTCAATGTGTTTGTAAAGAATGTTTGCGGAGTTTGCACAAAAACAATACCACCCAAGTTACCAGGATCAGGGTGTTTGATCTTTAAGCTGTGAGATAAATGAGGGCCAATTTTAAATTGGGATCAGACTTGGCTTGATTCACTGATGATTAAAGGGGACCTTTGATTTTATTTCTGGTATCATTTTCTCTTCAGTCATTGGTTTGATGTTAGGATACTGTTTACTAATGATATATCCGGTGTCCTGAAGTTGGAACTTTGTTTAAAGTTGTCTTGTATTATGTTTGGCTTTTGCAAAGTACTGCCTTTAAACCAGAGTGAGTATTTTTTATGCCACTTTTAAAAGCAATATTCCAGTAATATCAGGGTGGGAGACACCAGAAACGGGCTTCACACATTGTTCCCATATGGAGAATCGAACCCGTGTCTTTGGCGTGACGAGCGAACGCTTAAACCACAAGGCTACCCCACCGCCCCTCTTTAAACCAGAAGTGCCTATAACCTTCTTATTAAGGTTTCTTGAGGTGTCTGGGGCGCACGGGAGGCCCAGTTGGTTAAGGTGCCACAATTCGCTGTGCAGAGTTACATCCCTTGGGCACACCAGAAACCTATGATAGTGGGTTTAAATCCCATTTCACCCCGGCCGTAAGAATCGACTAAGGGGATTGGATGGTAAGGCTCGCTGACTTGGTTGATGCATGTCTTCGTATCCCAGTTGTGTGGATTGATGCTCATGATGTCAATCACTGGATTGTCTGGTCTAGACTTCATTTACAGACTGCTGTCATGTAGTTGGAATACTGCTGAGTATCGTACCACTCTAGAAATGGATGGTGGTTTCTTGTGCTTTCCAGGAATTTGAATTTGTTGCAGACACTTTTTCTGATAAGATTCTTGGTTTGTCCAAACTATACCTGTACTGGTTTGTTGCGACCCTCGAAGGTCGAGGATAGAATAGGTCTTCAGCAACCCATGCTTGTTGTAAGAGACAGCCCGTGAAGGTCGAGGATAGAATAGGTCTTCAGCAACCCATGCTTGTCGTAATAGGCGACTTATGGGGTCGGATGGTCAGTGAGTATTGAGTGAGTATAGTTTTTACGCCGCTTTTAGCAATATTCTAGCAATATCACGGCGGGGGACACCAGAAATGGGCTTCACACATTGTACCCATGTCGGGAATCGAACCCGGGTCTTCGGCGTTACAAGCGAACGCTTTAACCACTAGGCTACCCGACCGCCCCCGGATGGTCAGGCTAACTGATGCATGTCATCGTATCCCAATTGTGTGGATGGATGTTCATAATATCAATCACTGCATTGTCTGGTCCAGTCTCGATTATTTACAGACTGCCGCCATATAGCTGGAGTATGGCTGAGTGCGGTGTTAAACAACAAACAAACAAACAAAAAAAACATAACAGACGAACAAACAAACTTGTTCGTTGCACAAAAAGTCATCAATGTCTAGGACCTGTATCAGGTCGGGATTTCATCCTACAATAAGCCCACACACGTGATGTAACCGAAATGTCTAGGACCTGTATCAGGTCGGGATTTCATCCTACAATAAGCCCACACACGTGATGTAACCGAAATGTCTAGGACCTGTATCAGGTCGGGATTTTATCCTACAATAAGCCCACACACGTGATGTAACCGAAATGGTGTTCAAACCAGCATCAAACCCAACTGTCTCACTCACTCTGGATAATGGGTTCAGTAGTTCAGTGTGCCACGTTTCCCTTCAGGCCCAGTGTATTGATCAGCTGGTTAATTATGTAAGGGAAAATATTAACCTTCCATCAACAACATAAATTGATTGACAATTGATCACTTGTTCAGACAGATTGATTAAGATATTTATTATCATTAGGCTTGTGTTAGGTTTGTTTTCACAATACCGAGCAAGCTGAAAAATACTCTATCTTGTAAAACCAATCACCCCGGAGTATGGATTAAATTTGTGTCGACTATGCCGTGTTATATCCAGAGAGATTTATCGTGGATTCCGAACTAAGTGCCTTGCAAATCGAGAAGGGGGGGGGGGGAAATCATTATTTTGTTCAAAATTTTTCCTGGTTATTTTCTTCTAAAATTCAGAGGTATTTCAACAAAGTAATTTAACTTTGCATTCAATGCAGATAGGTAAAGTTATGCCTCAGAGACTTTTCCTCTTTAGTGTTCCTGTTATCAGTGAAATACAAGACACCTCTACAAATCCAAAACAGATGCCATTAGTCGTAACTATAATAACAGGAATTGGGAATTGTTTTAGATCCAATTTGGGAATTTTTACTGACATTTGTTTCGGATTGGGGCTGAATATTGACCTTTGAGCATGTCTAGATCAATCCTTGATGTCTGTAAAAAGAAGGAAAATCACTTAAATCTAAATCAGCCTTCGACAAATAAGTTGGTCCACGAGACGAATACCAGAGAAAACTAATCATGACTGTGACAAATATAAAATGTCAGTCTCCTTGTTTTGTTAGCTGTATTGATAGAAACATGTGAAAACTTGATAACTGATGTTCTGAAGTGGTCCTGCAAACTTTCGATGTGAACAGTGAGTATTTGGTAGCACTGGTCCTGTTCAAAAGTTTATGACACTATTTTTGTGAATCCTGTAAATTTATTACAGACCTTGTGTATTGTTGAAATTATTAGTGAGTGAGTGAGTGAGGTTCTACGCTGCTTTTAGCAATATTCCAGCAATATCATGACGGGGGACACCACAAATGGGCTTCACACATTGTACCCATGTTGGGAATCGAACCCAGGTCTTTGGCATGACGAGTGAACGCTTTAGCCACTGGGCTACCCAACCGCCCCTGTTGAAATTATTAAGCTTCTGTGTGTTGATAACAGCCTTCATCTGTTGACATGGACCAGTTCCTGTACAGTGATATCAGGCTTGTATGTGGTAATCAACTACACACAATACATACCGTATTCACCGTACTATGTACCCTGCTCCAACTCGTCCTCCCTGACCAACGACATCCAGACAGGATTTTACCAGACACAAAATATTGCCTGTCTGCTCATAAGATTAAGAATGGACGCAAATGATATGAACTGCAAGACCCACTTGACGCAGAAGAATATGTATGCTAGAATGAATGAAACTATCTAATATTTCCATTTAAATACGACCTGTGAAGATCCGGGGCAGAATAGGTCTTCAGCAACCCATGCTTACCGTAAAAGGTGACTATGCTTGTCGTAAGAGGCGACTAACGGGATCACCTGGTCAGGCTCGCTGACTTGGTTGAAGCATGTCATCAATCCCAATTGCGTGGAATGATGCTCATGACATCACTCACTGGATTGTCTGGTCCAGACTCGATTATTTACAGACCGCCGCCATATAACTGGAATATTGCTGAGTGCGGCGTAAAACAACAAACCAAACCAAACCATTTAAATGCCCCCATGACCTCCACAAATGTATTACCGAGAGTCCCCAAGGATCTCAAAAATAAATGCTGAACAAAAAGGGACCATGACTATTTTTGGTGATATTTTATTGTATTGAAAACTGAGCCCACAATTTAATAAAAATATTCACCAAAATATTCCTGATCCTTAATTTTTTGGTTCAGAAAAGATGAGAGTAAAATCCCTGTTCAGGGCACCTCAATCAGGTCGAGCTGGGAGGGAATTATGACATTATTCTAAGTATATCATATAATAGGTTATTACCCCAGATGTCCTCATTCACCTTCCTGGATGTGTCTGTTTGGTGATGTGGAATGTCATGTTGTGTCATTCAGGGCTTGCAGCTGGAGATGAATGATCAGCGGAGCCAGGTGGACGAGGTCCGAGACTCGGCCATCAGCCTGATGACCAAGAGTGACCGCTACAACAAGATGGTGGAACCAGAACTCACTCACCTCAATCAGCGATGGGAGGAGGTCTCGAACAAACTCAAGGTCAGCAGTGCATGGGGCTAGTTGGTGGGAGACTAGTACATGTGGTGCTCAGGTCAGCACACGGGCTAGTTGGTGGGAGACTAGAAAATGTGGTGCTAAGGTCAGCACACGGGCTAGTTGTTGGGAGACTAGTCTAGGTGGTGCTCAGGTCAGCACGAGGGCTAGTTGGTGGGAGACTAGAAAATGTGGTGCTAAGGTCAGCACACGGGCTAGTTGTTGGGAGACTAGTATATATGGTGTTCAGGTTGGTGGGAGTGTAGTATATGTGGTGCTCAGGTCAGCACGAGGGCTAGTTGGTGAGAGACTATTATATGTGGTGCTCAGGTAAGCACGAGGGCTAGTTGTTGGGAGAATAGTATATATGGTGCTCAGGTTGGTAGGAGATTAGTCTAGTAGGTGCTCAGGTCAACACTAGGGCTAGTTGGTCTGAGACTAGTCTAGGTGATGCTCAGGTTGGTGGGAGACTAGTCAAGGTGGTGCTCAGGTCTACACTAGGGCTAGTTGGTCGGAGACTAGTCTAGGTGGTGCTCAGGTTAGCAGTAGAGCTAGTTTAATTCTTTTGAGACTAGTACAGGGGATACTCGCAGTGGGATTTGTTACCACTGCATGTGACATGTATTTGAGTTGTATTGTGAACACCCAGAGTTGTATTGTTCTAGTGTAACATGCAACATGTTGCAAGAAGTAGAATGGATTAGAACTCATCCTCTTCCATGTGACAAATACCGCCTCCATGGTCTAGTGGTAGAGAGTCCGCCCGGAGAGCGAAAGGTCCTGGGTTCGATCCCCGACCGCGTCATACCAAAAGACGTTAAAAGATGGTACTTGTTGTTACCCAGTCTGGCGCTCGGCATTAAGAGGCTTAAACAAGGACTGGTCGGCTCGGAGTCAGTATACGGTGTCTGAGTGGGGTATTCATGTTAAACTGCGGCATGGTATCTCAGTGTGCTAGCACTATAAATCGGCATCAGTCCGGACTAGTACAAGCAGCCACACACACACACACACACACACACACACACATGCACGTCGCGATAAAGTGCAATAATCTTGGACACGACGTAACCCCATTTCACCTCACCTCACCTCACCATGTGACAAATCTCTTGCAATAATTAAGCCAATCAAAAATAGTTATTGCTGGTAACAGTAAAGTTACCTTTGTAGTTTGTGTTGGTAATCATGTTGGACAAGAAGAAAGTAGATCTTACAAGTGAGGAGTCAACCTAAAATACAATCACCTTCTACAAACTGTAGTACAGATTGCCTCATCCCAGCACCCAATGCTTTTCTCAAGACCCGACTAAAGTGAAGATTTGGTGGTTACAATGTGCGACGTTGTTGACAGTGAGTTGATGTGACAACTATACGTGAATCACATTAATGTATGGATACTACTAAAAGTAGTTCCTGCTCGGTGACTTCATATGCATATTTGTCAAATCATGATACCAAGTTTATCAGAATGGTTTATTACATTGGCAACACTTTCCATTTTATGAGGTATGGGGTGTTGCTACTGGTATTGTTCTATAGTTGCTTCGTGCCCACCCCTCCCTTGATATTGCTGGGATATTGCTAAAAGCGGCTTAAAACACTCACCTCACCTCACCTCACCTCACCTCACCTCACCTCACCACACCTCACCTCACCTCGCCTCGCCTCGTAACCCATATTTCTGTGGTTGTCCAGGAGAAACAATCTACCAGCCATGTTGAGATCATCGAGATGGCCAAGACCTCCCCATTGATGTCCTCCAGAGGTCACAGTCTGGAGCGACAAATGTCGAAGGTGGAAGGCGAGGAGCCCTTCAACACGCAGTGTGATCGTGTGGTGGCCACTCTGGCAGTGTTCGAGAGCAACATTTCCACCCACGGCGACCTGCAGCAGAACGACATCTCTGACAACTTGGAGGCCAATGTTCAGGTAAGCAGTTGCTGATGAGACGTAGTGGTGGAACTTTACTGATCAAGGTCCCATTCCACAACATGGTCTTGGCACTATGACTGTCATAGACCTGTGCTGAAGTGTGTGAGATATGATTGTCTTTGAGCTCTGACTGTCTAAAATCTGTGCTGAAGTATGGGAGATATAATCATCTTTGATCTCTGACTGTCTTACATCTGTGCTGAAGTGTGTGAGATATGATCGTCTTTGAGCTCTGACTGTCTTAAATCTATGCTGAAGTGTGTGAGATATGATTATCTTTGAGCTCTGACTATCATAAATCTGTGCTGAAGTGTGTAAGATGAGATCATCTTTGAGCTCTGACTGTCTTAAATCTGTGCTGTAGTAATGGGAGATGTGATTGTCTTTGATCTCTGACTGTCTTAAATCTATGCTGAAGTATGCGAGATATGATTGTCTTTGAGCTCTGACTGTCTTAAATCTGTGCTGAAGTAAGGGAGATGTGATCATCTTTGATCTCTGACTGTCTTACATCTGTGCTGAAGTGTGTGAGATATGATTGTCTTTGAGCTCTGACTGTCTTAAATCTGTGCTGAAGTGTGTGAGATATGATCGTCTTTGAGCTCTGACTGTCTTAAATCTGTGCTGAAGTATGCGTGATATGATTGTCTTTGAGCTCTGACTGTCTTAAATCTGTGCTGAAGTGTGTAAGATGAGATCATCTTTGAGCTCTGACTGTCTTAAATCTGTGCTGTAGTAATGGGAGATGTGATTGTCTTTGATCTCTGACTGTCTTAAATCTATGCTGAAGTATGCGAGATATGATTATCTTTGAGCTCTGACTATCATAAATCTGTGCTGAAGTGTGTAAGATGAGATCATCTTTGAGCTCTGACTGTCTTAAATCTGTGCTGTAGTAATGGGAGATGTGATTGTCTTTGATCTCTGACTGTCTTAAATCTATGCTGAAGCATGCGAGATATGATTGTCTTTGAGCTCTGACTGTCTTAAATCTGTGCTGAAGTAAGGGAGATGTGATCATCTTTGATCTCTGACTGTCTTACATCTGTGCTGAAGTGTGTGAGATATGATTGTCTTTGAGCTCTGACTGTCTTAAATCTGTGCTGAAGTGTGTGAGATATGATCGTCTTTGAGCTCTGACTGTCTTAAATCTGTGCTGAAGTATGCGAGATATGATTGTCTTTGAGCTCTGACTGTCTTAAAACTGTGCTGAAGTGTGTGAGATATGATCGTCTTTGAGCTACGGCTGTCTTAAATCTGTGCAAAAGCTGGTTTGCCTGATCCAGACCCAAACTTGCAGATTAACTGCTGTGACTGTAACTCATGGTGGTTTACCCGACAACCTAGGGATCATGGCATTGCTTGGTGAAGTGACTTTGTACGCCAGTGTTCTTTGTACTGGGTCTGTATTTAGCCCTGTGTTCCCACTAGGATAAGCATCAATACTCATGGTGTAGGTAATGATTTCAACATTTCATTGATGTCTTCTTCAGCTTGTCGATGAGGAGCTTCACAGCCTTGTTAGACCAGTGGAAGAGGTGATCGGTCAAGGGGAACACCTCTTGCAGGCAGCCGAGGCATGTCGAGACCAAGGCACACACAGTCGAGTTCACAAGAGACTGCAGGAATTGAAGGTAAATGTAATGAGAACATTCTTGGAGGAAAGATGCCAAATAATAAAGAATATTAATTTTATGAGGCATTATGATTTTGACCAAAATATTATAATTGTTGTTATAAAAGACATTTTCATTGTCTGTCTGTCTGTCTGTCTGTCTGTCTGCGTTAGGAGTAGAATGACCATTTCCTGGATGCACTGATGTGAATTTGTACACAAACAATGTTTTTTTTGTTGTTTTTTTGTTACAACAGGTCTAAATAATACTATACTTTAAAACATTAAACTCCAATTTGCAACCATGATTGATGCCAAGTCCACTGCATCAATGTCTAGTAACAAGGGTTCTATGTCCTGTATTGTTTGTTCTGAAAAAGAACATTTATGAATTATGCCCTGATAATAAGTTTCTTTTTTGAAAGTGTAAGTGGAACACAGTTCGCGAGGACAGCGAAACAAAGAAACGCCGTCTTGTCGTGATTGCCCCAGTGTGGTATCAGTTCTCTCGGCAGAAGAAGGACCTGGAACTATGGCTGGACAACGCAGAACGCCGACTTTCCATGTCCAAGAGGGACGTCGACCTCAAGGTAGGGATCTTGCACCTCCTCTGCAGTGCATGTCCAAGTGGAGGTCGACCTCAAAGTGGGGATATTATACCTCTTCTGCAGTACATGTCAAAGTGGAGGTCGACCTCAACGTGGGGATATATATACCTCTTCTGCAGTGCATGTCCAAGTGGAGGTCAACCTCAAAGTGGGGATATTATACCTCTTCTGCAGTGCATGTCCAAGTGGAGGTCGACCTCAAAGTGGGGATATTATACCTCTTCTTCAGTGCATGTCCAAGTGGAGGTCGACCTCAACATGAGGATACTATACCTCCAGCATCGTCCATGTCAAAGAGAACATCAACATTAAGATGAGGATCTTGTACCTCTTTATAGCTTGTCCCTTGGCATAATCTTCATGAAGACATCAGCCTCAATGTGGGGATCTGGTACCTCCCATGTAGACTAAGAGAGTGTCGACCTCAAGGTGGAAATCTTGTTCCTTTTTCCTGTATAGTCCATGTCTAAGATGGAATTTGATCACAAGGTCCCTGATACCTTGGAATTATATATGCCCTGCAGTTAAAGCCCCATTTTTTAGTGTGCAGAGTTGAATCCCTTACATGTGCCAGGATTCACTAATCATAAGTTCGAAACTAAAATTTGCACCAATCATCAGTGCTTGTGGGTTTGACCAAAGTGGTAAACAGCTATAATCCCTGGGCTTCCTCCCACACTGAGCTGACAGTTCTCGGGAGACAGATGTGGACTGCAACGGCCGTCCCCCTGTGGCTGATGCTACTGTGTCCCAGTGCACATGGGTCATGAGATGCCAGAGCAGAAAGATGTTTCGTCTGTTTTTGATGATTTAATGCTAATACAAAGAAAACTGAAGCAGAATATTCATGGCTTTGATCTTGGAGAAAAGAGGAGGAATATTTTCTGTGATTTATGGTACAAATATGTGCCCTCAATGAAATAATAGAAAGGCATGGGTGACTCAGCTAAGGCACAAGTCTCTGTGTATAAATGCTGTTGTTGTTGCAATTGATTCTGAGCAAGGAATTCGCTGGCCATTATGATTTGCATTTTAACAAGTAAAATTGATGTAGGGGGCACGGGGGGCCCAGTCATCTAAGGTGCCGCGATTCGCTGTGCAGAGTTGCATCCCTTGGGCACGCCAGAAACCTTTGATTGTGGGTTCGAATCCCAGTTCGCCCCGATTATGTTTCTAGGTTTGCTAGCACCATACCTTTGCTCGTGAGTCTCACCGAAGTGGTAAACTTCTGAGACCTGCATCACTTTGGGCTTTCCTCCCATATTAAGCTGACATGCCATGATATAACCGGAATACTGTTAAAATCGGCGTTAAACCAAACTCACTCACTCTCATGTGGAATGGGCCGTGTACCAATATTCAAAATGTGTCATTCTAACAGATGTTATAATGAAACCTATGATTGTGGGTTGGAATCCTGGTTCGCCCTGATTATGTTTCTAGGTTTGCAGGCACCATACCCGTGCTTGTTGGTTTCACCGAAGTAGTAAATGTCCGAGACCTGCATCACTTCGGGCTTTACTCCCACATTAAGCTGAAACGCCCTGATATAACTGGAATGATAGTTCACATAAAACAAACATGCGTTGATACAACTGAAATTCTGCTCTAAGAGTTGTTAAACCCAAAGTTTAATCACTCAGTGTGATAATAGGATAATATCACGTGGCAGCCTTCATTTATTGTTGCCAATGGCTGTCTGATCGATGATGTTTATGTGATCAGGGGCATGTTGATAGTTTTGTCATGGCCTCCAGAAACATGCAATGTAGTTTGTAAAATTACCCCAAAAATGTGTGAATTACTTCCACTGTAGCGATGTAACGGAGTCATCACACGAAAGGTTGGCTAATAGAATCATTACATGCTCTCTGCCACTCCCCATGCTTTGAGCTCAATAAAAACTTCCAGCAGATTTCGACTTCAAAGAACCGTGGAGAAAATGAAGCATTTTATGCCGAAAGACATTTAGCCATCGGATGTGTCAGTTTCCCTGCTCCTGGCTTGAAAGGATGCAGGTACTCCCCAGTTCAACATCTTCCTCTACAGTGTCTATAACGAGATTTCAATCAGCACTTTGTTTAGGATAAAAAACATTTCCCCGTTGATGACAACATCGTCCCTAAGTGGATTGCTTTATTTTGTTTAGGATTTGAGTACATGAAATAGAAAATGATCTTAGTTTAACCGTCAGTGGGGCAGGTGTGAGACTGAGTGTGTAGATCGTAAACGAGGTTGTGATGATTATAGCTTTCGGCCAAGGCACGAGTCTATGGTCGTGGGATTGGCTTACACAGTGGAAGCTATATGCAGTCTGCCAAGGTAGAAATAGCAGATTTGTATGTAGAGGCGTATCTATGTACAGTGAGAATGTCTTGACGCTCTTGTCAACAGAGGGAGATTGGCGGCATGTTACCACAACCTCCTGTGGAACTCTGTTTCTATATTCAGTTGTTATCCACCATTTTGGTTTTTGCTCAGTGTTTTTATCCCTTGGTAATCAGTGTTTGGAAGAAAATTACAAAAGTAAATTCGAGCTTTCCACTTCTTTTGTTTCAAGCAGGGAAATGAACTTTGTGAGATAATTGAATTATTTACCTTTTTCAACTTTTCTTCTTGTTGTATGTAAATAATTGAGCTGAAAATGTTTTTGATAATCATTCATTTTTTCAAGCATGGTGAATTTAACACCAAAATTTAGCACATGAAACATGCTCATCAAATATTTTTTCATTAAGAACTTGTTTATAAGATACTTCAAAATACATTTTTCAGTAGCTATTAAGATTAACAAATCTCTGACACTAACACAATGACAGTTGAGAGTCTAAAATAGAATTCTCAATTATTTCCTGCGTATGTGATTTTCCCTTATGACTAAAGAGGCCATGGGTGGGCCAGTGGTCCAGGTCATGCTACTGCCCCAGACAGAGTTGCCGGACTTTTAATGGGCAGATCATTAGCAGATCTATATTTTGTCAGCACCATGCCCTGCATCACTTTCAGCGGAATGATATAAACTGAAATACTTTTCAAAGAAGCATTAATCGATACTCACTCTTTCACCGAAAAATGTTTTAATAATCTGTAAGTCATTTTAAAAAAAAAATTACATCCAAGTTATAGATTATATCTTTGATCTCCAAAACATGTATAAAATGGCTAAAGAAACAAGTTACCTTATTTGACGTAATAAGCGCCCAGGGGCTCCCAAAATTAGAAATAGGGGTCTCTTATTAGAATATAATTTTGGAGATAGAAAACAGAGTTGAAAGATTGTAAATTTCTTGTTTTATGAAATGATACAAAAGAAAAGTCTGTGCGTATTAAACGCGACAGATATATTTTCCAGAAGTTGATTGCCCATAATTAAGGGTGCATATAACACACGAGTGCGTATTATACACGAATAAATAAGTGTACATTGATCAATAGGAAGGGGTGCTAATTTGGATTGTTCACTAGCCAATATATTAGCAAATATCGCTGTGGGCGCTTATTAGAGCGGGGCGCTTATTACGTCGAATACGGTACTTATTTGTCTAGCATATTTTCATGAAAAAACCAGCATGGCAGCTGGTGATTGGGGGTCCTGCTCATTGAATGGCACAACCTCTTTTCTCATCAGCAGGACCAATCACAGCTTCATTTCTTTCAAAAGCAAGCAGTCAATGAGTAATGCAGGATTAGTGTATAAAATGTTTAGATTTTACTAGTTTTTACATAAATACAACAGTGTCTTGCCTTATTCGCCAGGACCGCCTCCGTGGTCTAATGGTAGAGCGTCCGCCCGGAGAGCGGAAGGTCCGGGGTTCGATCCCCAGCCGCGTCATACCAAAAGACGTTAAAAGATGGTACTTGTTGTTACCCTGTCTGGCGCTCGGCATTAAGGGGCTAAAACAAGGACTGGTCGGCTCGGAGTCAGTATACTGTGTCTGAGTGGGATATTCATGTTAAACTGCGGCATGGTATCTCAGTGAGCTAGCACTATAAATCGGCATCAGTCCGGACTAGTACAAGCAGCCACACACACACATACACGTGCATGCACGTCGCTATATAAGTGCAATAATCTTGGACGCGACGTTAAACCCCATTTCACCTCACCTCACCTCACCTTATTCGCCATCAACCCTGCCGTCCCTGTGGGTTGTGTTTCCTGGCAATGTTTCAGCCAGGAATTGTTTACTGTTGGGAGAAATAGGTGGGACAACTGTAATGATTTCCACGGTCAATATATTCCGTCTCGGGTTGTATTCCAGCACACCTGCGAGCAAGGGAAGTTATCAGCATGCCCCATTTGTCAATCAGCAAGATGGGAATACCGAGACTGACATCCACCAAGATTGGCCTGTGTTGGAGAACTCTCTCATAGTCTTTGTGTCAGTGTGTAGCATTTTGGTAAAGTGTCAATCCCACACGCCTAGCACCAAGTTTGTGTCGCATCATGGGTAGTGTGTAAAGCATATTGTAGGTGTCTCTTCCATGCATCGGGCAGCTCTCTTGTAGTCTGTGGGTTTTGTAAGGAGCTGTGTTTGTCCCAGTGGTTAAAGCGTCGATTCCACACGCCTAGCACCAAGTTTCTGTCTCATCATGGGTAGTGTGTAAAGCATATTCTAGGTGTCTCTTCCATGCATCGGGGAGCTCTCTTGTAGTCTGTGGGTTTTGGAACAAATATGTGCACTCAATGAAATAATAGAAAGGCATGGGTGACAAGTTGCTGTGTATAAATGCTGTTGTTGTTGCAATTGATTCTGAGCAAGGAATTCACTGGCCATTCTGATTTGCATTTTAACAAGTAAAATTGATGTAGGGGGCACGGGTGGCCCAGTCGTCTAAGGCGCGGCGATTCGCTGTGCAGAGTTGCATCCCTTGGGCACGCCAGAAACCTTTGATTGTGGGTTTGAATCCCAGTTCGCCCCGATTATGTTTCTAGGTTTGCTAGCACCATACCTTTGCTCGTGAGTCTCACCGAAGTGGTA